GGCTGTGGCGCACGTGCGCACGTGCGCACGTGCGCACGCCGACGGGGGCCACCGGGCGACCCCCCAAGGCACGTGCCGCCCGCCACAGCGCCCGGCGGGGGCTCGCGAAGGCAACAGGACGCCGGGCGCCCCGGCGGGGGCCGACGGTTTTTCTCGTTCCCACACCTACCCAGAGCCGGATCCCCACAAATGCAACGCGTGGACATAAAACGACCCAGGACCAGGCCACTTTTTTGGCGCGCCCGCGTGCGCCGCCGCGCGCGCCGGATCGGCAGCCGCGCGCGCGCCGGCGCGTGCCACGGCGCACGGCGCGGCGCGGCACGGCTGTGGCGCACGTGCGCACGTGCGCACGCCGACGGGGGCCACCGGGCGACCCCTGAAGGCACGTGCCGCCCGCCACAGCGCCCGGCGGGGGCTCCGAAGGCAACAGGACGCCGTGCGCGCCGGCGGAGGCCGACGGTTTTTATCGTTCCCACACCTACCCAGAGCCGGATCCCCACAAATGCAACGCGTGGACATAAAACGACCCAGGACCAGGCCACTTTTTTGGCGCGCCCGCGTGCGCCGCCGCGCGCACCGGACCGCGCGCCGCGGCGCACGGCGCTGGCTGGTCGGCCGGCTCTGCCGGGCCACGTGCCGGGCGCGTGCGAACCTGTTCGGCGGCACCCCCTGACCCTGTGGAAGCGCCAGACCGAGGCGGAGCCAGAACGCACGAGCCGTCCTTCACCTGGCACGGGACCCATTCACCGCGCGCGCGCCTGCGCGCGCCGCGGCGCACGGCGCGGCGCGGAACGGCTGTGCCGCACGCGCCGCACGTGCGCACGCTGGCGGGGGCCAGCGGGCGACCCCCCAAGGCACGTGCCGCCCGCCACAGCGCCCGGCGGGGGCTCCGAAGGCAACAGGACGCCGTGCGCGCCGGCGGAGGCCGACGGTTTTTATCGTTCCCACACCTACCCAGAGCCGGATCCCCACAAATGCAACGCGTGGACATAAAACGACCCAGGACCAGGCCACTTTTTTGGCGCGCCCGCGTGCGCCGCCGCGCGCACCGGACCGCGCGCCGCCGCGCGCCGCGGCGCACGGCGCTGGCTGGTCGGCCGGCTCTGCCGGGCCACGTACCGGGCGCGCGCGAACCCGTTCGGCGGCACCCCCTGACCCTGTAGAAGCGCCAGACCGAGGCTGAGCCGGAACGCACGAGCCGTCCTTCACCTGGCACGGGGCCCATTCTCCCCGCGCACGCCGGCGTGCGCCGCGGCACGTGGCCCCGGCGGGTCGGGCGCCCCACGCGGGGAGAGCGCCCCAACCTGTCCGCCCGAGGGCCAAGACCCTGGAGGAGCCTCAGACCGAGTTGGAGCAAGAACGCACGCGCGGTCTCTGATCTGGCGCGTGGACGGCCCGCCGCGAACCTCGTTCTGCACCTCTGAGGTCACCGCGGCACGTCGACCCGGCGGGTCGGGCGCCCCACGCGGGGAGAGCGCGCCAACCAACCTGTTGGGCGGCCTTTCCTGACCCTGGAGGAGCGCCAGACCGCGGCTGAGCCAGAACG